AAATGGAATGTAAAAATGCAGAAGAAAAATGGCAGTAAACTCCCTTATTTAGGGTCTTCAAATACAATTATGCTTATTTAATATTTGGTTTTGATCTAAAATATTAATTATAATAAATAAACATTACTTTTTCTTAAACAAATCATAAGAAATAAACTCTTATAATTTTCAATAAACATCTCATTTAATTGATTTATACTTACCGGGTAATTTTCCTCACCGGATGAACATGGTAAGGACCAAGAATCTTATCTGGTAAGAACGAGGATAAGGATGGAGAGTCTTACCCGGTAAGTGAGGATGACGACTCTTACCCGAGTAAACGCTTACCAGGAAAATTGTTGCATGGAATACGTTTTAATATACTACAACCTTACCCAGTAAAATAAATTGTAGTGTTGACTCTTAACGGTAAGCATTTACCGGATAAGTATTTATATAAACAGCCCTTAATTATATATATAAGTTCCTTAAACCCGAAACATGGTCCACGTCTTATTGTTGTCTAGTGATATATAAAGATAAGAATTTCCCCAAATAATACAAAATAAATCTCAGGTCTAGTCTCATGTACTTTGTGTTAGGCTCAAATAGTTAAAAATGTCCCTCAACGCATATTTTGCTTCTCCGACATCTTACTGACTTTCCCCCTCGTCTTTTTGAAAAAGCCGCTCCACGGTGGTATTCACAACTCACTCCCGACCGATAAGAGGCGCCTCCGTCCAACCTCGATAGAAAGTTTCTACATGCTATATGGAGCCAAGAGGAATTTGATCGATTGGGTGTTATATGAGACACGTTCTCAAAGATCTTGATTAGAATTGCCAGTAATCAACTTTTTGTCCAAATAAAAAAATAAGAATTGGTATATACAACTTGTGGGTTGAGTTGTAGTTCAAATGATGGTAGTTTAGAGTATGAAGTTCTGATACGGAAGAGGTGAAGTTATTACGTGAGTTTTTATCACAAACTTACAAACTAGTTTTTATGTGTTGTATCATATATGAAATACCACACGTGAAAATACAATGTTTATACATTGTTGATTGTTGTTTCATATGTGAAATTGATGGCTATTTTGTGTGTGGATAAAACAATTCTAAACGTTTCACATATGAAACACTTGCCGTATAAACACTGTATTTTCATGTATTTCATATATGAAATAAAACTGGTCTGTAAACTTAACAAATTATAGCGATTATAAAATGAGACTATGTGTGTATATACACACACACACACACATACAGCGAGGGTGGGGGGATGGATTCAATGAGACCCTAGTTAAAGTAAGAAAAAGAAATGTGATTTTGCACTCAAATCACATGTGATATAGATGTTCTCATGTTTTTTTTTATTATATTCTAATTTTAACATCACTATATCAAATCAAATTAGAACAATAATTAAATGATTTAGGAATATATTTTTACATTATTTTTATCATTAAATAATATGATTTAAGATATTGTTTCACATATATTTGTTTCATGGTGCGGTAGTTTCACACGTATTGCGTGTATTTTCAGTTCCACTACGTGGACAAGAAAAGTTTCACATGTAATTTTTTTCACAAGTGAACACAAACATATGTGAAACAACACTTTAAATCATATCTTTTGATGAAAAAATCAGATAAGAAATATTTTTATTTGTTCTCATGGATCTATATCTTTTTGTGATTCTTATTTTGATTATACACACACACACACACACACACACACACACACATATATATATATATATATATATATATATAGGGACATGTTCAAACAAGAAACTAAACACTTCGCAAAAATGTGAGAAGTTTCAATATCATATATGATTATACACATAATACACAAGTTTAATCATATGTGATTAAACAGTTGTTGCATTGATAATACATAGACACTTAATCATATATGATTAAACACACCCAAATTAATGTAATCATATATGATATTGAAACATTTTACATTCTTGAATTTTTTTAACTTCCTGCATGATCTATCTCTCTCTCTCTATATATATATATATATAGAGAGAGAGAGAGAAGGATATCGCACGGTATGTGGAGCAATGTTACAAGAAGCTTACAAGTCTCTCTCTATTGGCGGCCGGGTATATATATATATATATATATATATATATATAGAGAGAGAGAGAGAGAGAGAAGGATATCGCACGGTATGTGGAGCAATGTTACAAGAAGCTTACAAGTCTCTCTCTATTGGCGGCCGGGTATGAAGAAGGATATCACACGGTATGTGGAATAATGTTTGACTTGTTTGCAAGTGAAAGTGGAACATCAATGACCCTACGATAACTCACAATCGCTAGAAATTCTGATTTAGAAATGAGACCATATTAAGATGGATTTTTAAAGAAGTTACAAAAAACTTCAAAACGTTTTGATGCGACTTGAGTTATAGTGAATCGACTATCTAAATCCGCTCATACCTTACCGACTAAATAAACGTATTTAATATAAAGGTTAGCAAACTGCATACATAATAAACTTATGGAAAGGTTAGCAAAACGTATTTAAAAATTACATTTAAACTTTTGTGTATAAACTTTTTATAAAGAATTTCTTTTTCGTTTTTCCTTTCTTTAATTTCCATGTCTAAAAAATATTTTTTTTATATATTTTACAATTTTCCATATTTTTTCATTTCCATATTTAAAAAAAGTAAAATTTTAAATTTATGAGAAATAGAAAGAAATATCGAAAATTCGAGTGACTGAAGCTGAAACAGCTACTTTTGAAGTAACAAAAAGAAAAGCAACAACTGGATTGGGCGTGCTTGCATTTTTCATTGCACAAGGCCAGTGACAGATCCAAAAACTTTTAATGTTAGGGGTGTAGAAAAATTTTTCAAAATCAAATAATTCATCCGGATGAAAACGGTTTTGAGTTTTCCTTTTCGGCTTAAACTGTTCAGTTAACCGAATAATGATAACTTATTCATGTCAATTTTCAGTTGACTCTTTACTAATTAATTGAGGTGTATAATTTTTATATTTTATATTTTGAACAAAAATATCAGTGTGTGCTGCAAATGGATCAATCGACAATCAAAACATCAAGTTGGAGGCTCTTGCCTTGTTCTTGTTGGACACACAATAGAAAAATTTACTAAACAAATCTTTTTACAGTCTTTTTCTTAAAAAAATTGGTGGGTTTGTTGGAGGACTAGGACCCCTACCACCACGCACTAGATCCGCTCCTGCACATGACTTTCATTTTCTTATTCATTTCTTAATTTCCAGAACTAATGAAAATAAACATAAAAACTACTTTGCAAAAAAAAAAAAATTACTCAAAAAAACATTCAATCTGCGTAAACTTTTTTTTTTGTTTTTTTAATTTGAAAATTTAAAAAAAACAGTTCACATAGAAAGTAAACTTTTTGCGTAAAATTTTCTACGTAAACTTTCTACTTAAAGCTTGCATTTTTCAAAATTTTAAGTAAAAATGGAATTTACGTAGAAAAATTCCTTTCAAGTAAAGTCCATACGTAAATTATAGCTATTTTAGGAAACTACTTTACAAAGTGATTAAATAGTAAAAACTCATTTTTAAAACTAGATGGGTACTCCTGTAATGCATCGAGATATACCTCGATTTCAATATTTCGTTTTGTTCTTTTTTTATGTCGATATAATATGATTTTATATGGTTTTGAGAAAGCGATAATGTTTTTATTTTTGAATAAAATATAAATTTGAAAATATACGAAATTTTGAAAAAAAAATATCGATATCAGTATCAAATTAACCTTTTTAAAAGTTCTTGTTTTTGTGTGATTCAAGTTTTTTTTCATTATAATTTTATTTAGATTTAGTAACGAAGTAATTTAATTTTGGTTCAATAATATAATTTTTTATAAAGATAATAATCAAGTATTTTATTAGAACTCAATAGTTATTCTAATTATATTTTAGATTTTTTATATTTAAAAGATGTTTATCATCTATTTGGTTATGTTTATCTACAGTTAGTTATACGAATTCAAATATGAAGTTATAATAAGTAGTACTTACGCACAATGTACTTGTTATCTTAAATTTTAAATATTATATATCAATAAACAATACTTCATATATAAAAAATAATTTTTAAATTTTTTTATCTAAATACTTTATAATATAGTATAAATAACTATTTGTGTAAGCCAGTTAACCGGCATAGAGTTGTCATTTTGCAGGATGGTTGGAGGCTTGGAGCAATCCAGCCTTCAAAAATGATAACCGGTTGATTGAAGTTGGGCTTATCTTTATCCATTAACAAAAGCCCAAATTTAAAAAAAATGGGTTTGATACATTTCTTTTAAATTTCTTCATACTTTGCGTGTCCTTTTAAGAGTCGTTAATATATATTATATACGATATACTCGTCCTTTTGTGCTTGTGTTTTTAGATCGGGAAAAAGAGCACAAAGTTGTTTACTTCGTATGAAAAAAAAAACTAATCAGTTGTATATATTTAAACATGTGAAGTATACATTTGTGAAATCCTACATACTCTTAAATTTATTGGTCACTTAGACTGTTCATATATTTACAATTCATTTATACTTTCAGTTGTGTTATATTAGCTTTTGTAATTACCATATATACATATGCAATTCACCTAGCTACACTTTAGAAAATAGTCCCCACTACAACATTCTAATTAATTAACAATTATTTTATGTAATTAAAAAGTTTACTAGGATCTATGTGGCGTTGCACCAACAATTACAAATATTGCAAGTGTTAGGCAAGAGTTTGCTTTGTTTGCTTAAATATATAAGTAGGGCTGTAAACGAACCGAACGTTCAGCGAACCGTTCGGCGGGAAGTTCGTTTATTTAATAAACGAACGAACATGAACACATTTTTTTGTTCGTTTAGTTAAACGAACGAACATGAACAAATGTCTCGTATATGTATATGTAGATGCAGATGTAGATGTAGATGAAGGGATCTGGTCCATAATCACGTTTCCTTTTTTCAGGAAGTGGTCTCGAAAGCCATGGATGATGCATTTACCATTCAAATAAGCGGCAACTTAGTTAAACAGCTAGCTGATGAGAGTGAAGAAGAAAACCAGGAAACCAAAACCAAAGACACCGAAAATTCAATTCCCCAACAAAACCAAGCCAAACCCACCAATCAGAAGGAGATCCATGACGAGTCTCAATCAAACCCTAAAAGGTGTGGGATCCCTGCCACCGCCGGATGGCCGCCAATGTACCTCCCAATTCCTCCACCTGCTAATCCTCAGGTTGATGCCATCCGTTCCGTCCTTGAAGACAGTGAAAGGGTTTTGGAAAAACTAAAAAAGCAAGAAGAGGAGATGGTGGTGGAACTGGAAGTAAAACAAAAGGCAAAGGAACTTCATGATAAGGAGTTTAAACTTCCACAGCCAAAACCCATGGCCTGTTGGGCCGATTTAACGCCCTGCCTTGATTGCTACAAAGAAAAATGCCAATTTACAGATTTTCTAAAACATATATACAGAGGTTGGTTATTATACAATCATTTATATTTGTACAATTAATACAACTCAATCTCAACCGTCCATTTAATTTAATAATATATGATTTCATAGAAATTTTGATTGTTTTATAATATAAAGTAGTGATCATAATTAATTAACCATATTAATCTTCCATAAATATTTAAATCATAATAAATGAACTCTTATCATTTTCATAAATATCTCAATTAATTGGATTGCATTGATTGTACAAATAAACATGGTTGTATTTGAAATATACCTTTTATATATATATATATATATATATATATATATATAATATTCTCAGTTTTTGTGTATAATATTATTTTTTAAGTTTTCAATTGATGTGATTGTAGAATCTTACGTGTTATAGCAAAATTTTCCAGTTGATGTGTTGTTATAGTTTTTCATAAATCTTTTTAGTATTTTCTATATTTATAATTAGACAATTTACATGTAAAACCAACGTATTTTACTCTGATTTTATTGTGAATAAAGTACTTTCAAAATCCTCATTTTTGTAATTTTAGAAAAATTTAGGTACTTAACAACCTGTAAATACCGAATAAAATTAGGTTTTCGTTCACATGACATTGATTTAAAGAAATAAGATTACAAATATTGAGCCATGTGATCATTTAAAAACAATAACATGAATATTGAATTTTATTAACAAAAAATAAAGATGTGAATTATTTTAATTAGTTGTCTAGATCCATATATCTATCTTATCCGATGTCTATTTTGCTGGAAAAAAAAAAAAAAAGAATCTATTTCATTGGACCTCATGAAAGGGGTTTGCCGCATTAGATGACAGAGGGTCCGTCAAAAATAATTAAAAATTTGATGTTATATCAACAAAACTTGATTTTAATATGTCCAAGTAATTAGATATACCATATATTTAAATATTTGAGATGTTACATTCCACATAGTATAATAAACATTTTACTTAAAAAAAATAACAAGTCTCAAAGGCAAATCTAATGCAATTTGCTTTTATAAAATTTTATAATTTTTTTTGGTTTATACGATTGTAAAATTATATATTGTACATAATAAAAATCCAACTTAGTCTTACATTTATTTTAAGAATTCTATTTAATATTCTTTTGCTTAATAAATTATTTTCTTTTATAATAAAGTTAAAAATAAATAACAATAATATTGAATATTATATATTTTTCAGATCTTTGTAATAAATTTATTTAAAAAATAATGAATTAGTTTAAGTTATATATTTACATTAAATTAAATTTTATAAGAAAAAGTTGTCATAGAAGAATGTTTGAAAATAAAAGGGGTACGAGTCAATAAATTGGTTAAAAAATTTAGGACCCACAAAACCATATTTTTAGGAATAAAAGCATCTACAAATTAAGTATCCTATATTCTTTATTGACTATATCATGCATTACTGATAATTAAATAATCCAACCAAATCCTTAAGACTTGAAGTTCGATCTCATTTAGATATTACCTCAAGGTCAAGACTCAAGGGGGAAGGCTTAGTTTGTTGCAAATATCCAAAACCAATGCAACTTCATTTATTTCTAACCACATAATACTTAAACCTAAAAAAATTTAATGATTAAAATCACAAAGAGAATATATATATATATCTATACTATATTATAAAGCATTTGGCTAAAACTTTTAAAAACTCTTAAACTCTTAAAACTCTTAAACCCGTTCATCTCTAAACAATTTCATCCCTATCCGATTTCATCTCATAACTGAATTTGTATAACTAACTGCAGATAAACACAATCAAATACAGGATAAACATCTCATTTTAAATATAAAAAATCTAAAATATAATTAGGATAATCATTGAGTTTTAACAGAATACTTAATTATTATCTTTATAAAA